ATCTGTGAATCTTTCCATAACAGGAAAGCCCACACTTGTGCTTTTTGTTCGTTCTAGAAAAAATAAAAGAAAAGAAGACAATGATGTCAATCTTTCAATATTATAAATATTCCATAAGTATTACTAACATTACTATTTTCACGAAAATGTGAAACTTGGGTACAAGCGCCTTCTTTTGTACGATGTTCTTGAAACTCTTCAATAAAGTGAAAAACTGAATGGCACTGTCCACACACAAGAACATCTAATCTTCCCATCTCTTCTTGTGCAGCTAGTGACATAATAAAACTCATTTTTATATGAATTATAATAACATAAACAGAAATAAAGCATGTAAAATACATACTTCAAACAAAGTTACTTTCTATGGAACTTTCACTAATAAAAACTGAGATTAGTTAGTATGTCAGGTCTCTTATTTTGATGTACCAATGCCAAGTGACCTTTTTTATTGATACAAGTATCATAAAACTGTTCAAAAAATTGATTAACATTGTTAAGCATTATAACTGTATTCCATTGACTTTTAACAAATTATGATATGTTTATATTGTGTCCTTATATTTGTAGGAATAGAAGAAACAAAGGAATATAATTTTATGCAGTATAACAATGATAACAAATTATAAACATTACCTTTAATAGCAGTAGGATTACTACTGATGGCCGAAGGGCCATCGCCTCCCTCCATTTTGTTTAATAATGTACTTGAATCTCTATCCAAAATGTTCCTTTCTAAAACAAGATAAAATTTAATTTCATTATTTATCACATTAGATACTATTTATAAAAAAAACCTTAGTTTACTAAAACTTTATATAACAATACAGATGATTACTGAAAGTGTATTTAAAAATTGTATTACAAATTAAAAGTTTACTCTTCAATTATACATTTAAGTATATATTAATTTTAATACAAGTGAATTTTAATTGTAAAATCTATAGTTTAGGTTTATTAACTAATTAGACAGTATACGAAAAAAAAAAAAATTAATTAGACCAACGTGATATGACGTATAATATTTATTTTATATGCAATAAATTTATAGAGCACATTTAATTTGCACTAGTTAAGCAACACATCAATGAATCTTATCAAATCAATTTTTTATAAATTTACACAATTAGATCGATACAAAAGTGTATTTTCTTTTAATAAATAATTTAAAAATATTTTTATATTACTTTTGCAATATATCGTAATAAAAAGAAAAAAAAATCGTAACATTCGGAGTTCGAAGTTTCGCGGGCGTCAAAAAAATTTACACGCAACATGCCGGTGGAAATCGAACTGCGAACATTTTTTAACAAGACACCACTGTCGTTGTTACGATAATTTAAAGGTTCACTCCACATACACTACTATTATTGGTCATTTTGTAAATGATCTATGATTCCAAGTATTATCACGAGATATTTTTTGCAGAGTCCTTTATTTAAACTAAATGAATTCCCGCATAAATGGTAAGACGTTGAGACACACAGCATGGAGTCATTGTAAACGCGGCCAGTGGCGTAAGTTACCAACGAATAAAACTCACAGATAATTCGATCTTGAAATAGTAACCGGCTCGCCGTGAAAGATCGTTACCGATAAAAACGACTATTCTAATTGCAGATAGCACAAACGTTTAGAATTTACAGAAACATTTAGAAATGATGCCATTGCCGTTGCCGCCGCCGCCACAGACTCGTCCTCTGTCTATCATGAGCAAGCCGATGCTCGTCAAGATGGCTCTCGTCACGAAAACTCTCCTCGACTATTCACTTCCTGTCTACCCATGAATATTTTTCGAACACACTTGTCCGTTACCGATTTCAATGCGATCGACCCTCAAACCAATGATATCGACTTACGCTCGCTAAACCGTGGAAAAATCAGATTTCCTTGATCTGGATAATTGCTGTTGCCGCACGAGATGGGATGAAAACAGTGATCGCGTCTGACGACAGTAGCGCCATGGCGCCTGCCCGCCACGGCAACAGTTTACCTTTTGGCGGGAAAATATTACTTAATAATTTTACTTTATATCCTTTTATAATGCATGCTTCTTCTATAAAACTGCATTTTATGCTTAAAACATCATACGTGAAAAAAATTACCAAAAAAAGATAAGAAATTACTTCCGAAAAAAAGATATAATTATAAATGCTTTATTACTTACTTCAAATATACCGCTTTTCTTCACCAAATTCACCTATGTTCCGGCATTGGATCAAGTATAGAAAAGGCAAGTTTATGTTAATTGATGTCAAGATTTCGTAAATAGTCATTGGTTATTACTATTAGATTAATGAATTGTGTATGATTAAATATTCTTTATTTTAATTATTCTTTGACTTTGATATGTTCAAGTCTTTTCCTTTATGTCTAAAACAATTCTTTTAATTTATGAAGAAAAACTTAAAATAAATAAATCCCTTATTAACCGGGTACCGTGAGAAAGTTGTGTACTATACGTATATTTTTATGGGAATTTAATATATTTTTTCGAGAACTGTTTTTCTACTTATAATTTTATATTATTAATATCTTAAAGGTGTTAAAAAACTTACATGTTGATATTTTTAATTATAACATTGACATGTCATTTTTAATGTCAGCAATAATATAAACAACATTAACCTTATTTTCTTAGAACATTGAATAGAATCGTGTAAAGTAAGTATCGTTTTGACTTAATTCAGAAAAGAGTTTGGAATACAATTCTTTAAATTATGTGAATTTTATCAATTTATTTCAGAAACTAAGAAATGGCTGATGAAGAAGAAGAGAAAGAATATAGATGGGAAACTGGTTATGAAAAGACATGGTATTAAGATTTTTTTAAATTAATTTAATCAATTGTAATTATATAATTAATATAATATAAATAATTTTCTGTAAAGGGAAGCAATTAAAGAAGATGATCATGGATTGTTAGAAGCATCAGTTGCAGATATTATTCATAATGCTAAAAGAAAGCGTCAAATGGAAAAGAAGGTTGGTGCTAGATTAGGAATGATGAGGCATCTTTATGTAATTCTTGATGCTTCTGAATCAATGTCTATTCAAGATCTGAAACCAACTCGTTTCCTATGTTCTTTAAAGGTACTTACTGATATATACAATATAAAAATCATTTGTAGTATTACATTTTCTTTTCAAATGTAACTCAATTTAAGCTTTTAGAAGATTTTATTGAAGAATTTTTTTACCAAAATCCTATAAGCCAGTTAGGAGTAATTATTACAAGGAATAAAAGAGCAGAAAAAATTAGTGAATTAGCTGGAAATTCTAAAAAACATATTAAGGTAAATTTATATGATTTATTAAGATTTTTATTGTCGTTTACATACTTAATAAAAGCAGGAAAGACGTGTTTTTATGCATTTTTAGGAAGTACAAAATATGCAACAAATTGTACCAGCAGGTGAACCTTCATTACAAAATTCTATCGAACTAGCTTTAAAATCATTACGTCTCTTACCATCACATGCTAGCAAAGAAATACTTATAATAGTAGGAGCACTTACAACATGTGACCCAGGAGATATCAATGAAACAATTCAAGCATGTATTAAAATATACATTATGTAATATAATAATTATATTAGAACATTATGATTAACTTTGTTTTCAGAACATGAAATCAGATTCTGTTAGATGCAGTGTAATAGGATTGGCTGCTGAATTATATATTTGTAAGAGAATGGCAACAGCTACTGGTGGAGAGCATGGTGTTGCACTGGATGATAAACATTACAAGGAACAGTTAAATATGCATATTGATCCACCACCAGCTGCTACTAGATTAGATGCTGCTCTTGTTAAAATGGGTTTTCCACATCATGCATTACATTCTTCCACAAATGATTCAGCTATGGCAGTTTGCATGTGGTAAATAATTTTTAAATCATTTGTACACAAATTAAATGCCTTTTTAAGTAAGAAAAACATTGTGTCTCTTTAGTCATGCAGAAAGCTCAGATGAGTCTGTTAAACTTCTTAGTACAGGATATCTCTGTCCTCAATGTCTGAGTAAACATTGTGAGCTTCCTGTAGAATGTAGAGCATGTGGATTAACTTTAGTATCTGCTCCACATTTAGCACGGTCCTATCATTATTTATTCCCTGTTGAACCTTTTAAAGAAGTTATGTACAGTGGAACTCCTTCAACTTGTTATGGTTGTCAAAAAATTTTATCACAAAAAGATAAGAAGGTATGATCAATATAATTAATAATAAGAAAAGCGACAAAATATAATTTGTAAAATGAACATTGAAAACGATTCTTTTTCCAGGTGTACATTTGTAATAAATGTCATCAAACTTTTTGTTTAGACTGTGAAATATTTATCCACGAATCTTTACATACATGTCCAGGCTGTGCTACCAATCCAGATACATATCAAAAATCCACGGACAGAACCTAATTTATTCAATGTATGTAAAATAAAATTAATAATTTTTAGTTACATTAAACAAAATATTTTAATATTGTAACTTAGGGCCAGTTTTATATATGAAGAATTTTTATACTGTAGAACTGGAAATGTACGTATAAGCTATATTATCTCTAATTAAAAAGAAATGAATGAAGAAATGAAAAGACAATGATAATAATTATGGATATTCGTTTATTTTTTTTTTATTACAGTAACCATCATCTATTCGGTATCCTTTTATATAATAACGAATAGTTCCGCAGTTCGTGTAAATAAAACGAACATATTTAAGATAATCAAACAATTGTCCTAATAAAAATTAACAGTATTTTTAAGATTTTATGGTATGCCTTCAAGTTGTAATGATCGATTTATTGCCTTATTAACATATAACTTATTCCAATAGTGAATTACGACGAATAATTCACTTAGGTAAGAAGACTATACCAGTTAGAGTTGTTTGTATACATTTGAATAATACATAGACTTCTTTCTCCCAAACAAGGAATCTGAAGTTTTTCGAGCGGTAACGTGGCCGCTTTAAAATCATGGTGGGAGGTGATTGAGGTTTATTAGCGAGTGGACAGGTGGAAGTAAGCATCGTTATATTAGAGCACGTTATTAGTTTGCGTTCATCCTCCGGTGCGACCGGTTTCACAGTGTCGACCTACTTCCGATTCAATTACGTATGTTCATCCTGCCCGAACAAAGTGATTTTACATGTGAGAAATTTCTCACATATCTTGTTCCCTTCTTAATACGCATCTCCGAAATCAGGTAAAAATAATTTTATTTGCATTGTATATTTTCCTCAATAATAAATGTTCAGTATTATTCTTTATTCGTAATTACTTTTTTTATTAATGTATACAAATATTAGTATATACACATATATGTACATACATATATGTGTGTGTGTGTGTTAAAAAAATATAATATAATACAGTTTTAAAAAATAATAAATAAAAAATACAGTTTTAAAATATCGTTTTTCAATTTATATGATTATTTAACCCTAGGATATTCTGTAACTATGTGAAGCAGCGTGCGTATGTATCGTATCTTATCTATTAGTTCAAATATTTATTTCAAATGCATTTTTTATGTCTTTGTACTTAAAAATCATAATTTTTATTTTTATTCTTTTTCAACATTTAACATGTCGGTAATGTTCCATTTAAAGGCGAACATGAACGCGTGCAGTCACGTGTGTAGTGTACAAGTACATACACAAGCAAAATGTAAAAATAGACGGTTGTTACTTTTCATTAAGTTGTAAGTTTATTTAGACTTATAATTTACAATCCGTAATGAGGATAATTACAGTTCAGTGACAGGTAAAATATGGTTATTCGTAAATATCAGTGCCAATTGAACGTTTTACGAAATAATTATTTTTAACTTAAATTTTCTTAAATAAGAATAACATTAATTTGTTATTCATAAACTATGTATAATAATGAAAATATATATTGTATATATTAATGCACGTTTTATCTGCAATTTATAAAATGTTTATATTACATATAGCACAAAAAAGAAATAATTGCTGTTACTAATATTGATGTTATCACAACTGATTATATTGTATGTAATCGAATTATTTCATATGTTAGTAAAGATTTATTACATCAGGACTAATTTATTCCTATTCATTACACCAATTTTAATATTAGCTTCGTAAAATAATTGATACCAACAAATGATAAAAATAATTTAAGTAATAAGCTATCATCAAAGAATATCGCGAATAAAAATTAAACTAATTATAAATCAAAATAAATGGGACTAAAGTTTCTGATCGAAAATAATCGGAAAACAATAATTGAAACTTAATGGTAATCAATTCATTTTCGTTTCACAATTCCGTTTTAACTTTTCGAGACTGTCCTCGAAATTTTTGAACACTCAAATAAAATAAAATATTGACTATATGATATCGAAATTGGAAAAGCTGAAAAGATATACTCATTTACATTTATTTTGCACAAATTAAATAAGCAGTAGTAAATAATAAAAATCGTAAAGATTTCATTTCATTTAAGTTGATCAATAGCTTACAATAAACAACGCATTTTGTTTTAAATAATAATGCGATTTAAACAATTTTTTTTTCAATTTACGAATAAAAACGATTTAATAAAAAAATGTTGAAATGCAATGTAATGTGTGTATGTGTGTATGTATGTGTGTGGGGTGTCTCAATTACAATCTTTCCATCTTAATTATGTAATGAAATAATCAATCAAGACGTCATTGATTTATCTTATTTATTAGTTGAACTTAGGGTAACTTCGAAGGATATAGTTTTCAGAAGATATTTCTTAAAAAACAAAAAAATGATTATTTTATAGATTATACTTTATATCATCTTTACAAGTTTAATAATGTTTACCACGTGAATGATTTTCTTTTTCACTACTACAATTGTGACGTACGGTAAGAATTCCTTTCTCTTTCATTAGTGCTTTCAATTCGCGTAGCAATAAACTGGTTGTATGCGTAACATTCGTTACTCTAGCTAAGGATACGTATTTGTAGAAAGGAATCTTGCAAGAAATTAACGTTGCGAAATATCCTCAATCCGTAGTGATTTTTCCTTGTGATCACGCGATACTAACTTTTTTAAGAAAAATAAATTATCTCTATATTTATTTATAAGCATTTTTGTGATATATTTTGAAGTATAGATTAGCTCTATATTTATTTATCATTGATATGTTTCGTATGAAGTACATTTGTTTCCGTTTCATAGTATCACGTTTACATTCAATTATCTGCTGTGCTTATTTCTACATTTTTGTCGTATCGAAATTGTTTTCTACATCGTGACGGTCATGAAGTAGAAATATCCTGTTTCTGCTTTTAGCCATGAATGTTGTCAGACTTGCTACGTTTCAAGGATCGATAACTAACAATCGATACATACAGACATGATATGTAACTTCGTCAGTACAACAAACAACTTCGTGTACAAAAAATCGCTACCAAAATTATTGATTAATTAATGTCACATTGTCTATGATAGTATGCATTATAAACGTTCCATTTGTTATTTAAATATTACATTTTTATCATGCGTTTGTTTAATAAAAGCTTTCAACATTGTGTTTGTATAAGAGATACTTTGTCGAGACGTTTAGCAAAGATGTGTTTACACTTCGATTGCAGAATAAGACGGAATATAATTCAGTCTCGTTAATTCAACTAATTTTCTTCAAATTGTAGTTAAGTCAATGAGATCTTCCACTTTTCGTTATCTATATTCGTCATAATATAAAGATTAATATTGAATTCAGTAATTCAAATTTGATTAGAATCAGTCCACAGACCAGACCACTTTTTACTTTAAAGCAAATTAAATCACTCTATAATCTGATCCCTTCTGTTCGCTTTATTTGTTTTCTCTTCCATATTTATTTCTCTGTTTTTTCCTTCTAAGAAATAACACCATTTCTTATCGAATTATTATACGATTCCTGCAAGTTTATATATTTGTAGTGTCTCGATCAACTTTAATTAAAATGTGGTCCAGAATATTGTTATTTATCAGTACTTGTGATTCGACCCGTGATTAAGACACACGAGACAATCCTTTGACCTTACGTGGTATCAAATAGCGGTGATCTGATTGGTAAAATTGCTAAATGGCCCGCACATGATTTGTAAATAAAGACATACTGAGACTTGTTCGAGGGGGATCATGCAATGGGGCCACAGTACCACGGTGCTTTGCCTTAATTGGTCTGTAACCTTGTCACGTTGACCAGCATCGATGGCACCCAATTTGTGTGACTCCCGTTCACGTCAATGTCATCTGATATCTAAAAATTCTAATATCTCAAATTTCACAGGTTTAATAGATCGAAATCACATGGTATTTAATTCTTGTTTTAAGTACTTAAAGATAAGATTATATAGATGGAGATAAAATGATAGATATAAAGAAGCCATTTATTTACAATTTTTTATAAAGGAAATGAATTGCGATATAGATATATATCGATATTGTTGAAATCTTTATATCTATTTGGTATAATATAATACAATAATTCTATGAAATCAATCTTTCATCTTTATTTGTAAAATGTGCTTGACAATATTATCTGAAATTTCTAAGGAAGACACTTTAACGCTATCTAAAATATTAAATACAAAATATTAAAAATTAGGAAATTACGCAATTACAAGGTAATTCATAAAATTTATATTTTAATTGCGATAATTAATCTATTAAATAACATCGCTACTAGTAAGATAACTAGTATGAATTGTACATTAACATATGCGTACAGTATTTTTCCACGCCTGATATTTTTTTCATTCTGTAGGTGCGAGATCCTATATTTCAAAACGTACGATTATGAATGATCAACATGTTCCTTGTTTCGAAACGGTTTTAAGAAGATTTTTCACCAAGAATTTACAAATTCAATGAAAAATATATCATGTTTGTGATAACGATATTCCTATCATTATAAGAAATCTTTAAAAGTCGCAAAATAATTGACTTGCAATTCGTCATGTTCTCGTAGGTATCAGCGTCGTATTATGGATATCGTAAACATAACATAATTACAGCGATGATTGGGGAATTCTAATACACCAGAGGCAGGGATCGGGATGCGTTCCGCATACGCTCGTGAATATTGTACGTAACGATGAGAACATTCCTTTCTTTCTTTTTACGATACTGGTCACGAATCATCACTTAAAGAGATCAAGGTAATTCGGAAACACATAAAGAATCAGGGAGCCTTGAAAACTCTTGCGAGAACAGTGTTTCCATTTATAAGAGTTTGTTAATGCGCTTTCATTATTAAGGAAAAATCTTCGATAGTTCAACGAGCATAGAATTAATTTAGAAATTTTTAACATTTTAAATTGCAAAAAACTTTTGCTATCTTCAAGCAAAATGGATAAAATATCTTACCTAAGGAGCTCGCAATTATATTAATTTATTATCATTCTACTCCTGTTTTGTCATTCAGTGGTGTTCTATACGAGATTTAATTAGAGTTCATTGTATCCTCGAAAATGCTAATTTGCTTTTACTTATGATAATGCCTGTTTGAATGCAATTTCGTTGCATGGTCAGTTGTAGAGATATATTTATATGACATTTATTTATCCGACAGTACGACGCATAAATCAATCTACGATATTTGCAGTGGAACGAGTTCTGGAAATATCGAAACACGTTTCTTTGTTGACACGAAACAACAGGTATAAGGAGATGATTACTCGTGTAGCAACCGCAAGAAATGTTACTGGTTTCTCTAATAGGTTTCAAGCATATTTATAGAGAAGGCAAAATTGAACTTATTATTAAAACTTGTATATTCAATTATCACAGAATTTCTATGATATTCTTTGGGGTATTTTTAATATTGAACAGCTATTGATGTTTTTCTCGATTCGGAAGTTTTAATTAATCATTACTGTTTAAATGTCTGAAAAAAGTAGTTTGATTTAAAAAAAATTACTATTATTGTAATTAGAAGATATACGAGTATTAGTTCTTATCTATTGTATCTTCATCACAAAAATTGATCTACCTCACATTGCTCAAGTACTTGAGTGCAATTATGATATGTTACAATTATCTGGTTTTGATAAGATGATTTCGATAAGTATTGCCATAGTGCCTAATATTTGAACTGACACAGGAGATCATGACTTTGAATGGTTCACACGAAAATATTGACAGATACCTTTCAGACACGAGTCTATTTCTATACATATAAGTACTAAGCATGATCCAATGATTATTCAGTGACAATTGTTTCAACCACAGAATACAGCTTGTACAAATTACTTCACAACTGCTTAAATATTTATAGCACTATTTTGTACCTTAAATACGGAATCATAAGCCTGCACAAATAATCAAATATTGCTATCTTCTTGCTCAAGGCACATTTTTAAGGACTTTATCCTTCAAGTACCTCACATCACTGTTTACTTGAATAATTATGAAAGATTTTGGAACCTTCAAATCATCGAACTCAGAAACTATGGAACTCTGGAAACCATAATCTTTTACTAGACACATTACAGATCTGATTCCAATAAGGAAATTTAAAAATGACAAGAAAGGAAAAGTTATGAAATTTGTTTTAGGTAAAGGGCAATTAATCGGAAGTGAAGGGGCTCTGTGCCATGGCGAGTCGACTATGGAAGACATTATCGCGAAGACGGATCGACAATAATGATGAGAGCAAAAGCGAACTTGCCCGAGTTTTAGGCTTGTTTGATCTCACAGCACTTGGTGTAGGTTCGACTCTCGGTCTCGGTGTCTATGTCCTCGCCGGCAGCATTGCTAAAGAGACGGCTGGTCCAGCCGTTTGCATCTCCTTTCTCATTGCTGCCATCGCTTCCGGATTTGCTGGTAAATTAGGATTACATTCGCGCCAATTGCTTCGTATGCTGGCAATTTGTTCTTACCGACATTACTAAAGATATTAACAGTCTAATTAAAGCTTTATCAAGGACGGCATTGATTAGAAAGGTTGCTTCTACTTCTTTATTAAACACTAAATAGCATATAATTTATTAGATTTTCTAAAGTATTAAATATCATGTATGGTCATTTGAAAATATAGTTTCTTCTTAATGATCTTGAGCTGCATAAGAAAGATGAACATTTTAAATTTTCAGGAATGTGTTATGCAGAATTTGCTTCCAGAGTTCCCAAAGCAGGATCAGCATACATTTACAGTTACGTGACAGTGGGAGAATTCATTGCTTTTATCATTGGATGGAATTTAATTTTGGAATATGTAATAGGTAAGTGAAGAAAAATTCTATTTGTTTTGTTTGTCAAAGTTTATTCGATAGTTTTACTCGTAAAATAATCGGATCAAAATTTTGTCATATTAAAAAGCTATTTGTTATACAGTAAAATGTTAGTTATTAATTATTGAATTAAAGATTATTACTAAAATTAAGTTTTTCCATACATATTTCACAATTAGGTACAGCAAGTGTCGCCAGAGGACTTAGTAATTACTTAGATGAATTGGTAGGAAATGTGATAAGCAGAACATTGTCTTCCGCGATGCCTATGAATGTTTCGTTTTTATCAGAATATCCAGACTTCTTCGCATTTGGTGTAGTATTACTACTCATAATCTTGTTGAGTATGGGAGTGAAGGAATCGACGGTTTTAAATAATATATTCACTGTAATGAATTTGACTACCATTTTAGTAATCATAGTGGCAGGATCCATTAAAGGTAATAACTTATTGTAAAGATAATATCAGTCATTCGCTATCTAAACTTAGTATACCAATCAAAGTTATTTAGTAGTAATGTTATTCAGTCTTTTCTGATTGTGATTTATCTGATTTTTTAATATTGAACGAAGTCTGTAAATATTTACGAAATATTTGGAGTGTTTAAGATAGTGACTTACAGATAAATGATTTGATATTTAAAACCTTAATAAATTTAATGATTAATTATGATTTTGTAGCTGATCCACTTAATTGGCAGATACCGATGAAGGAAATACCCCCGACAGTACAACATGCAGGATCAGGAGGTTTTATGCCTTTTGGTGTAACCGGAGTGATGATGGGGGCGGCAAAATGTTTTTACGGTTTTGTTGGATTCGACACTGTGGCAACTACTGGTGAAGAAGCTAAGAATCCTCAACGCAATATACCCATAGCCATTGTTATTTCCTTAATTATAATTTTATTGGCTTATTTTAGTATCTCGACCGTGTTAACTATGATGTTGCCTTACTACGACCAGGTACACTTACGCATATAAATGATTTTAGGATTCCTTTTTGTATCAATTAATTAAAAATTTGTAAATAATATATTATATACTTAGAACGCTGATGCACCATTCCCACATGTTTTCGAAAAAATTGGATGGCCTACTATTAAATGGATTGTTAATATTGGTGCAACATTTGCATTATGTACAAGCTTGCTTGGTGCGATGTTTCCGTTACCACGAATACTTTACGCTATGGGTAGTGATGGAGTAATTTTTAAGCAACTTGCGAATGTACATCCGAAAACGATGACACCTATTTTTGGCACGGTAGTTTCCGGTTTATTTACGGGAATTATGACACTTATTTTTAATCTTCAACAATTAATTGATATGATGTCTATTGGAACATTGTTAGCATACACGATAGTGGCAGTATCTGTTTTAATATTGAGGTAAAGATAATAAGATTTAGGTATATTTATTTGTTAAATACAATATATTTCTTACATTATATCATTTAGATATCAAGAGAAGGAATGTTCAACAAATACTCATTCCATAACAACAATGAATAGTTATGAGCTAACGCCGCTCAGCATCCTAAAACAAGTTGTTAATTTGCAGAATCAGAAAGAGATAACTGAAATGTCTAATAAAGTCGCAAAATGTTGTATTGCAATTTTATGTAAGTCTTAAAGATTATCTAATTTCAGTATGATTAACATTGTTCTTATATTTTTTATTATTATTACAGGTATCGTTATATTAGTTATTGCATTTTTGATTAATTATGTAGGTACTGAAGCATTTGGTAACAATGTAATAGAATGTGTGATACTAGTTGTACTTTTAAATATATTATTGTTAATTATAATTATTATTGCAAGGCAACCTACTTGTGACATTGATATAGCATTTAAGGTACATAGTATAAAAAAGTCCAAAAAATATAGAGCCAAAATATTTAATATCATATTTAATTGTCTTCATATTTACAGGTACCATTTGTGCCACTTCTACCATCTTGCAGTATTTTTATAAACTTGTACTTGATGTTACAGTTAGATGCTTTTACTTGGATCAGATTTTCTGTTTGGTTACTTATAGGTACATATATACAAAATATTAATGGCATTTAAAAAAAGAAATCAAAAATATTATAACCTTTAATTATATGTTATTAATTATTTGTATATCTGTATTTTACACAGGTTTTATTATTTATTTTTTTTATGGCATATCTCACAGTGAACAAGGGAAAAGAGATAAAACAGAAAGTGAAATGATGAAACAAAAATATGCAGATCAAGTTAGGACCGTAACTAGCTTCTAAGAATGGTTATCTTGCCATATGTGATATTTTTTTTGTATATTTAAATAAAAATTTGTTGCAAGAAAAAATTACAACATATGACTACTGTTAATAATTTATAAAAAAACATTTGTGTTTGTACATCATTCATTTTCTTTTTATGAAACATTAAAAAGAAGAAACACCATTCTGACTATATATTGTTGTTACAGAAGAAAGTAGTTTTCATCCTAAAATTCTAAAATCCTAATATATACTAAGTGTTCCAAATGATAAATTCTTAAGCATATTAAAATATATATTATACATTAAATACTACACACATACTCACGAAATTATATCATTAAAAAGATCTAAACTATTCTATGGTATACAAGAGGATAGTATATAATATATACAAACTTTTATTTCCTTTTATATTTATACATTAAAATTTACCAATATAATGTGCATATTTCATAAGAAAATTTCATGATGTTTATTACCTACTTAAGTGCTAATTGCACACATTATTTTATATTAACTATTGTGTATTTATTAGAAAAATAATTAAAACGTTTTTTTATTTTAAAAACATATAAATATAAAAATATTATTGGACTGTTGTTTTAAGAAAAATCAAATTTATTTATTATATAATTTAAATAAATGTCAGAAATTATGATGTATATTTCTTAATAAGCTGCATACATCAATATATGCAATGGCATATTACAAATACAATTGTTTACATTGTAAAGCTCAATACTAATAATTCACAACAAAATTAGATTAAACATTTATAATAAAAGTAGATTTATAATTCACTTATTACTAATGACATATTAAGAATACTCAAATGTTACAAACTTATACATTCTACAAAAGATTGTAATATTTAACTATACTAATTTTTAATTTTTGTTTAGTATATTAAAATAAATTTATATATAAATTTACTTAGTAAAAGAAAATGTAAAATTATACTACTAGAGAGGCACTATATGAAATTTATTTATACAGAAATACTTAATGTATTATTTAAAAAGAAATGTGGTATTTTTAAGTATAAAAGCATACATTGTTTTGCGTTTCACTTTTTTAAACATTTACAAATCGTTAAGTTTCACTATCTAGTTTAAATACACAGTTTTTAGAAAACTTTTTAGAAATGGAATACATATGTAATAAATGAAAAGATTTAAAATAATTTATGAAGAACTATTTATTTTGTATTTACTATTTCAATTCTTCAAATATTTATATTAACAGTCTCATTTTACTGCACCATCTTTATTACTCTGTAATAATTAAAATAATTTGTACCTAGGCAAGGCATCTCATACAATATATTTTTATCAATAGTATGTAATTGTTCAAAAATAAAATTAATGTTTTTAGTATTTTCTACTATTATATTATTCCGAATTAATTGGTAATTATTTAAATGCATACATTTGGAATGTTTCAGCAGGTATTTCAATACGAAATTTTTCGTAAAATTATATAAATAAAATTTATCAATGTGTTTCATATATAATCTCATTAATATAGTTATTTTCTTTGCACATATTCATAACTATTTTTGTAATTAAATGAAAATAATGGAAGTTATGTAAATTACTAGATTTTGAAAACAATTTAACTAATCACACATTCAAATAGTATTGTTATTTTGTATGTTTAAGATAAAATAAAATCTCTATTATTTATTAAATATATTATAGAGTCAAGCTTATATAATAAATTTAAGTCAATTGCAAAAGCTAAGCCATATACATACATGTAAAACATACATATCATATGCACATGCATTAACTTTCCTTATTCGTGAAAAATATACGGGAACAAAACAGCAGAGTATTGTTTTTCTGGATACTAATTTAACAATACTTGTATGTATGATTTCAAGGATCATTACTGATTTAAAAATCAGTTGTTCATTTGTTTTTATTTATAAGTCCTCCCACACTTACATGTTGCCAATTTGCCTATTAATGATAATTATAACTGTGTAATTATCTACAATAATTAATTGTATACTAACGCTATATAATTTATCAGATAATTAACTTACCCCTATGCCAGTTGCCCAACCAGTTCCAGCTGGATTCTCATCAGTAATCCCTATTCTACGACAAAGTATACCAGCTCCTGAGACTGCCCAAACTTGACCCTGATCTTTTGCAACGGCAATATGCCGAAAACCTTGCTTCGCATTTATGACAGATATATCTGAAGTATACAAAGAAATATTATATTCTGAACATGTATAAAGTAAAACTAACAATATTTGTAAACACAAAATAGTTAACAAAATTTATAAAATTATAATAAATATATAGTAAAATTTTATTCATTGCAAAATTCAATTAATACATGTTTATTTTGTACTTATTTTCAAAGGTAGTATATAGATTTTACCAAAAAATGCAGATTTAGTGGATTATATCAATTACTTTTTAGAATTTTTATTTAAAAAATCTAATGTATTAGTATACTGGTTATAATTATTATCTAAGAATATACTAATACTAATGCAAATTATGAATATATTTAATCATTAATAAATAAAATAATAAGTAGAATATTGGACAAAAATTAAACTAGTCAAATAACGTTCAACATTTTAATGTTTAAGAAAAGATCATATTTCAAATCTATAAAATTAGGAAATACTGTCCATACAATATTAAAATTTAATGGATACCTATATGTATAGGATCATTTGGCATCACAGGGAGTGTTTGCCAGTGCGTTCCTTCCGGAAAGACATTCATCTGTATTTCTCGACGTATGAATAATCTACCTGTTGTATCTAAAGCCCACACCACGTCTTTCCCAACAGAAATTTGTTTCAAATGAGCACCTGTCGGTGGTTCAACATTTTGCCATTGTATTCCTAAAAAGTCAAGTAACAATTATGAAAAATTTCAATAATGACACAAATTTATCCTTACAGTTATGTTGTTTATACCTGTTGGTTTTGCGACAGTAATTCCTAATCTCCAATACGAGGAACCATTTTTTCCAACAGCCCAAACTTGTTTGCATGGGCCACAAGAAATACCTACTAAAGCTTGATGACTTGGTATATGTTCCCATGAGACTCCCTACAAATATTAAATACCTTTATTGTATAAACTAAGTAAATGTTTATGATATTGATGAATCTTTTATAATATACCATTGGACATGATTCTGAAACACCTCTCCTGAACAAAGCTTCGCCATTAGGAGCTACTGCCCATATATATATAGGAGCATCTGAACCAGGTTCTCCAGTTGCCTAAAAATAAGAAATGTAAAAAGTTGTTGCTTTATACATTTAATTAAGAACAACGTGCACTTTTAATGTTTCTTACATGTAAAGAAACATCAATCAATTTTGCGTTTCCTAATTCTTGCCAAGGTCCGCTAGTTGTTAACTGACATCTTCGAAACCATCGTCTTCTCCTAACATAATCAGTAAACTGTTTTTTACCATGATATTGAGAAGGAAAATCTATAGCATATTGCCAACCATCTCTATCAACACCTCTTGGAGTATGAAAATCTACTATCCACTCTGATACCTATCATAAATAAGGTATTTTAGCATAAAATGTTTAGCTTTGTTATCTAAATATTAAGAAAAGTGAAATTAATAAATTAATATATATTCTTACCCAGTGCCAATGCATTGATAGCAATTTAGTATGTTCTCGGGTACGTTTATGACGTCCGGATGCATCACTCCACATATAACGATCCATTGGAAGACCATGAGAAGTATATCCAGTTACTGGATTCCAACGTTGATTTTCATAAACATAATAATTATGGGTATCTACCATAGTATTTATTCCCGTATTACTATCTAATCCTATAAAAAACAACGTATAAGATTAATTCATAAATTTATTATTTTTTAGGTACATATTTTTTTATTGTAGAAAATATTACCTTTCAAAAATAAACCACCCCAACCACCGGTATATACCCAAGCAGTATTATTATACCCTATCCCCCAAGTTACACCAACAGAACAAGTTTCAACTTTTTTCAAGTGACCGCCCATTTGTCTCCAGAACATCGTAATTGGATCAATAATTACCTATATAAAGTTTGCATTGCAATTTAATTACATGAAGTTATTACTAATATTAATATCGAGAATATTACGTACAGACGTAGATTTATAAAATATACTACATAATGTCATCAACCCTTTGATTCGTAAATGAGTAATACTTTGTGGTAATATTCTATGGCTATAAAAAGTAAATTCTGTATCATCGATATAGATTTTATATCCTCGTGTTTCACAAACGATCTCTAACGTGAAATCAGAACCTGGCTTTAACGGACTACTTCCGTTTCTTTCTTCATCCCCCCACTGTCCATTTTGATATGTATTTCGTACAATTATATTTTCCTTTAGTCTCGGATTAAAATGCAAAGCTACATCATGACTATCTATTACAGACTTCTGTTTCAGAGAAGCAGCTGAATAACAAACAAAATTGAACGATAGCCTAGAAATTATACAAAAATGAAATATTTCAGAAATAATACAAAAACATTATAAGTATAAATTTAAATTATCATTTTTTACCTATCAGCATCATCATGAATACAGACTGTAATTTTTAAGGAACTACCATATCCAAAACCATTTTGTAATATACATTCAAAAGGTAATTCTTTCCCAGCAACATCTAATTCTTGTACATAAACATCATTAGTAACTTGATTTTCCTATTAATAATATAAAATATTAGTGTAAAAATATATTATATAATATTTTTCAAATGAGACAGATTAACGTACTTCTATAACTGCAGGGTCATATACATATATGTCTCCCAATGCAGTAGTAGCCCAAATTGAATTAGGGCCAGGTTTTCCATAAACATTATTCATTTGACAAGAAACTAAAAATGCGGGAAAAGACTCATATTATTTACCTTTATACACATTGCATGAGACTCATATTATTTATCTTTATACATACCTGATGTTAAATGCGCTAACCAATCTTCCATTTCAGTGTCACTGGAAAACTGTAATCTAAGAACTTTAGAACGAGGCATTCGAGGGGTATGAATCGCTATTCTTGGATTACCTGGTTCACTACAGCATACTGCACACATTATTTCAGACACAGGAAATTGCATCTGAAAAAAGGACCATTAAAAGATCATTGAAATTTTCTTCAAAAAATTAACTTGTATTTGCTGTTTAATATACAATTGTTGTTGCTCCATCCGAATTTAAAATAGTCACAATTCCAGAATCTAAAGAACCACTGTCGCTACTTATCCATTCTAATTCAATGACACAATCTTCATATGAAGTACTACCCTTAACTTTGCATTTTACATCACCATTTTTTACCCACGATGATCTGTAATAAAATATTATGCATAAGATCTTATATTAACTTTAATTTTATTTACTTATCAAAATCTTACTTTTCGACTACTTTCTGATATATTGATGGATCAAATTGTATTTTTTGTAATCTCTTTTTTAACTCCTCTAAAATACATATTCTCCATGCCTCTGCTATATCTCCATGACTTGTACCGTTTGTATCTGCAATCCTATAAATTTTAATTAAATATGTATACAACTACTTTTTGTTACAAAACAATTTTTTGATTTATAACATCAATATTACCATTTTGGGGGATTGAATGGATCAACAAAACAAGCTCCAGCTTCTACCTTATACCAAGCAGTATCACATTCAGCCCAATACATTGTCCCAGAACTTTCATCTTCTCCATAAACACCAGAATCACTGGTTAAATCAGGATCAAAAATACTTCCATCTGTTTCTGGATGTGCTTCAACACCAACCATAGAGCCAACTGAGTGAACAGGACTCCATGCAGCTGGATTAATCTATGTTATTTGAATTTTGAATTTTATTCTTAGCAATAAATTATTATACATGGAAAAGTATATTTAATTGATTCATTTATTAACCTTGACGACAGTACCCATTCCTTTTCCAGAAACTACAATAGATTCTCCAGTTTTAGTCAATGATTCATTCGATATAGTTATATTTGCAACGCTAGCTTCAGTTAAATCACCCATATCTAATGAATTCGCCGATCTACAATTTTATTAATTAACAAAATTATATAAAATATACAAAATAATAATAAATAATACAAACAAAATAATTACAAGGTTACCTTTTTTTGCCTTCATTTAGGTATATATCTTGGAAAGATGTTTGCTGCGGATTTTTAACAGAAGTACCATCATTTGCACGTTGCCATAATTTCAAAGATGTTGGTGTTGGGGCAGAACGGGATTGTTCTTCCCATTCTCTAATTAACGTAGTACCTTCACTAGTGCTATGTGGTCGATTCTATAAAAATATATTATTTTCGAATTAGTAAAACATATTTATCTGTAATATTTGAAACACATAAATATCAATATATGAAAAAAATACCAATGATCCCCAACTTTGATGCCTCTGTTGTTGAGGAGTACCACACATACTATGTCTATTACTTGATGATAAACTAGCACTACTACTTGCTCGACTAAGTTGAAGAGGCGCATTTATTAATCTCCATTTTTTACCCGTTAATTCTGATTGTGTAATACCGGTACGATAATATAAACTTCTATCTTCATGACCAATAGCCCAAACCTATAAAAACAGTAAATAAATAAATGTATGCATATATCTGAATTTATATTTATTAAAAATAAGTATTTATATATTTTAAATAAAATTTATAAATTATATTACCTGATCATTTGGTGCAACAGATACTAGTGACATTTTACTTAACATTTCCACCCACCCAGTGCCAGCTGCCATTTGTTCACAAACCCCACTCATTTCACCTTTAATACCTTTTCTAAACCACACCCCTCCATCTTGTGTTAAGGCCCATGCAGCATCTGTACCCACACTAACTTGTACTAATCTTAAATCCTTTTGTGGAGGATCAACTTCTACCCAATCTTCTCCTATAAAATAATATTATATTCATTGATGTAAAGAATTATATTAAATATTATTGTATTAGAATAAATTAAATTATACCCATTGGATTTTCTCTAGTGACACCTGTGCGCACAATCACTTTACCAACCATTAATACTGCCCACACAAGTCCAGTCATTCCAACACTAATTTGAGACACTTCATATCCATTTGTTAATTTTATAGTACTCCACCTTTGACCTTCAGGACATGTTGTACTAGTTCCAACACGAAACATTACCTATACAATATAGTTACTATTAAATACATGATATACAAAACAATGTTTGTAATAAATTGAAATAATATTATAGTTATTGCAGTAACCAGAATTATGAATTATAAAATATGTTATTTACATATTATTGAACATTTTATTAAAACAAATCAAAAAATTTTTTTAAATGTTATACCCTCCCATGAGCAGTTACTGCCCAGACTACTAGGTATCCAGGATTACCTCCAGGTATTTGATTTCCACCAACAGATATATCAATGAATGGTTCCTAAAAATATATTATGTTGTCTATTTTATAAATATATGTACAAAGTTTTTAGTAATGTAAAAATTCAGAAAGTCAGAATTATGAATTCAACATATTAATGTAATGTAAAAATTACCTTAGTTGCATCTTTGTGAAGAGGTGCAATAGCACACCATGAATTCATAGCACTATATCTTCTATATCTAACCCATTTCCTTCTCCTAACACAGGATTTCCATTGCTTTTTTGTGGTATAAGTAGCTGGAAAATCAACTGCATATGTCCATCCCTATCAAAATATCAGATTCTCTGTGATCATAACGCTTTGTTTCGATGTTGATAACTGACAACAAATCTACATATAAACAGAAAGTCACAAGAAATATAACAACAGAGACAACTGAAAAATGAATTAATCCACTATTATCAGATTGATAACTATACCTATATTGTTAATACACAGATTAAAATTTAACATGATTTATGCATACAATAAAAAATATCTTACTATTAGTATAGAAACTAAAAAATACAAAGTTACGAATGAAATTTAAAATAAACAAAAATTATAATGAACTAAGAAAAGACTGATTGAAATTATAATTTAAATGATTGATAGCATGACTTAAAAAATTGTATCATATTTACATCATGATCTAATGGTTGACCATCTAATGTAGTTTCAATTTGCCAATCACCTTCCCACTGCCAAGCCATGGATGGTAATCTCACTTTATCTCTGCTACGATCTACTGTACCATCTTGATTAGAAAAATTATACCTATCTGTAGGTAATAATCTTCCACTAAATCCCTCTAAAGGAAGCCAACGCTATAAATATTATATTCTGTTAGAATTTGTTTATAAGTTACATATATGAATAATTATAAATATAATCATAATTATTTTCAAATATATTTTAAACATACTTCATTTTCATATATCTCTTCTTTGATTCTTATAGGTACATCTAATCCATGTACATGAACATAAACTTGACGATCACCACCTATAGCCCACATAAAATGTGGTACTGCTGATAACTGTTTAAACTCAAGACCTAAATACATGAACTCCCTCCACATATTTCCAGATGTTGATAACCCAAACACACGTCCTTCATTATTTATAGCATATAAATATGAGCTTGGCATTTTAATATTTTTATTAGCAAACTGCTTTAACTTTTCTGTAAAATAATATTTATATTAATATGTGGAATTATGTACTGTAGAAGTATGTACTGTAGAAGTATGTACTGTATAAAATTAATGACCATACTAATCTTTACACGAATGATTCATATTTATGATCATAATATACGAATATATAAATATATGAATAATACCTTTACGTATTCAAAAAGAAATATCTATTAACTTTTCTGCACTGTAAATGATATTAAATAATGATCATAGTTTTATTCAAATAAAGTTATACTTATGTAATAAAGAGTATTTGTTGTAAAATGAAATAAAGATCACGAAAAATAATCTTGGTTATGTAAAATATTTACATGTTACATTTTACATTATTATTATTATATATTATTTACAAAAATGATTGAAACACGAAAAGAATTAAATTCTGTTACTCTAATACGAAAATTTAAAAGTATAAATTCTCAATATAAAAACAAAGAACATTTTGTATAATGATATATCGCTGTCATTTAATACTGTCATTGATTATAAGTGTGAGTAAAGATATCGATAAACTTGTTACATTAAGGAGATTTCTATATTGAAAATTATAATATCAATAAACGCAATCACTACTTTAAAGGGGAGCTATTTGTACATTATACAATAATAAAATAATGTATAATGTAAATGTTATAATAATAAAATGTCATATTTTATTTCTATGTAAATTAATTCTTCGATTACATACTTGATACCACTGTTTCTAAACCCACCTTGTATGATACTTCGTTAAAGAATGTTAAATCATTTAATTCACATAGCAATTATTTAACCAATGATAGCTTCTGAATTATCGAATACGTTTTACCATTTTAGTTAATATTCTTAATATTCAAATTATTAACTATTAATGATTAATCATTGTTTCATGAGTTTTAAAACAAAACATTTTTATTTTTAAAGTGTTAAATAAAATATTAATAAAACATTTAAATTTGTAACAAATTATTTGTCTTAATAGTATAGAATAAAACGTAAATGTAATTTAGTAAATGCAAAAATTGTAGAATTATATTGAACTTTTATACCATCACCCTTATATAATAAGCCAATATATTGATTTCCATGAAAATTCAAATATATTCGGGAATCAAAAATTCCAAAAATAGTCCTCCAATGTAAACACGGCTTAATAATTCAATTGCACGTGCAACCAATTTGTGAACGGAATATTTAGGTTAAAACGGTATATTAATATAATTTATAAATCATTATTCAGGTTTTAATAATACAAATCCATTTATATTTCGCAGCAATACTCTTGGTTTATTTAAAATAAAGATATTGGAAAGAATGGTTGTATTTACTTGTAACAATTGTGGTGAAACATTACAAAAGTCAAAAGTTGCAAAGCATTATGAATTTCAATGCCATACCGCGCCTTTTTTATCATGTGTCGACTGTTTCAAAGATTTCCGGTAAATATCAATAAAAGTAGGTGTATTTTTTTATTATTTTTGCATAATTTTTTTATTATATTGTATTTTTAATTACTTTAAGAGGTGAGGAATATGTAGCACACACGAAATGTATAAGTGAAGCTGAAAGATACGGAGGTAAAGACTATGTTCCAAAACCTGGAGCAAATAAGGGTGAGAAAAAACAACAAGAATGGATTACTATAGTAAATAGTATATTAAACAGTGAAGCAAACTTATCAAAGGCAGAACACAGCTTTTTAAATATTTTATCAAAGTATGAAAACATTCCACGTAAAAAAGCTAAATTTTTAAACTTTGTAAAGAGTGCTATGGGTCAAAGAACAAATCCAGCAATAATTGACAGTGTGTGGAATAAAATGGAAACAGCTTATAAAAAAAGTATGCAAAATATTGATACACAAAATGAGAATCAGCATGGAAATGGTAAATTTTTAATACTTAACATAATATTTAGTTAACTATAATTATAAATTTTTTAAATATATTATTTAAAATGTAAATAGGTAAAGTAGATGAAAATATAGATGATGCAAAAAATATTAATGTACTTCAAGAAAATAATGTAGTTGAAAATCAAAATAATGAAAATATATATAGAGAAAATCAACATGAAGATCAACCAAATACAAGTAAAGTAAATAGTGTAGAAAATGATAGTAATAACGATTTTATCAATAATATTAAGAAGAAAAAATTAAAGAAACGAACCATGTCAGAAATAATTCAAGAACCAGTAGAAGAACATGTTGTTAAGAAAAAAAATAAACATGAAAAAATTACAGAAAATTCAGTTTCAAAGAAGAAAAATAAAGACGTTCTTAAAGAAAAAATAGTTCCTATGAAAAAAAGTGAAGACACTTTACTTTCTGAGTCATCAATTAATCAGTACAATGGAACTGTAGAAAAATTAACCTTCAATTGGAGAGATACTATTTTAGATATAGTAAAAAATAAAAGAGAAATCTCTTTAAAAAAGTTACAAAAAAAAGTAATTTCACGCTATGTAAACTCTTGCTCAAATACTATATTGGAGGAAAAAGCATCTAGTAAATTCAATAAAAAATTAAAAAAAATGTCAGAAATAATTATTTCTGATGAGAAAGTAACCTTAGCTTAATTTAAGTGTGTGTTGTTTTACGAATTTTTTAAATAAAGTATGTTATCATCACTACTATTTATGACATTAACATACATCATTATTATAATAAAAAGTAAAATTTTTTAAAACATAATTAAGCAAAATATATTGTAGAAAAACATTTATTGTTTTCATCTTTAATAAAATAAAGAGATAAAATTCGTTGATAGTATCACAGAATTTATCTAAAACTAATGTATTAATGAACAGCTATAAAGTACATATAAAATATAGCAGGAACAATAAATAGTACAACAGTAATTTTGTACAGTGTAAGATTGGTGTATAGGACACATTTAGGTACTTGAATATGTCTTAAACAATTTTGAATATGAAAGTTGTAAATAAATGTCCTAAAATTAAATATTTTCTTTGACGGATTGCACTCTGGTATCAAGTTTTCATATTTGTGACCTTCACAGAAGGTCAAGATATCTTAATAGGGGGAAGAATAGTGAAATATGATTTAAAAGTCAATGATAAAATTTAAAATCTTAGTATTTGTGTTAAATATCTGAAAATTTGTCTAAATAATAAGCATGATTACTCATGGTAGCTAAAAGACCCCATGTAAGTACTTTGGAATCAGTAGGACCAAAACTTATCAATTGTTGGTCAAATAACTGGGTAAGTGTTCCACCAAGAGCAGTAAGAATTGCAGTTCCTGCACAAATGTCCCACTTCTTTATTGCAGTCATATGAACATATGCAGTTACATTTCCACTTACAACCTCTAAGAATTTGTAACCTAATAATATAATACATAATATAATAAATATAATGATTTATAACACTAAACATTAATCTAAAAAGTAATATTAGAAAAATTACCTGCACCGGCAGCAGAAATAATTTTTACATCTTTACCAAATGCAATCTTAGTAACATTATGAATTTGGCCAGCATGTGATTGTGATACAATTAATGTAGGTGACCTCTCATTTTCTACCTAGTTTAAAAAAAAAATTTATAATATCTTTTAATACTTTTTCTATACATTACCTTATGCAGTACTTGTAAATTTCTTGAAACTGCATGATTAGCCCATGTCCAAAATAGACTAGAATTTTGTTTTGTTTCAAATGGTTTATATATAACACCTATTATAGGTTCTCCTTTAACAGCAACACAAACCATGGTTGTAACATATTGCAATAAATTCTCTAAAATATAAACAAATAATGAGAAAAATAATTTATTACATTAGTAATTAAAACTAATTGGGATACTTATAAAATAAATATACCTGTAAATTCTTTTGTTGCATCAAGAGGATCAATCCAAACTGTAATGTCATTTGTATTTATAATTTCATCCTTAATATCGTAATCATTTAAATTATCAATATTATTTCTTATATTTGACAGTGTAACTTTATCACAGTCTTTTGATGTTTCCTCTGATATTACTGTTATGCTTGGAAATGCCTCTAACAAAGAATGATACATTGCACAGTGTGATCTATAATCTGCTTCTGTAACAGGATCATTTACACCTATAAAAAAAGACATAATTAGAAAGATGAAATTATTTAAAATTATACATTATTAACTTTTATATTTTTTGATTTTTAATATACATTTTTCAATAAATATGTAATATTTATATCACTGAAAAATGTAGTCTAATAATATCAATTTACTTACCTTCTTTTGTTTTTCCTTTACTACGTATTTCAAATTTAACTTGGTTATGAACTGAAATTATTTCAGAACCACCAATTTCTGCCGCTTTTATGGCAGCAGCGAGAAGTAATTTTAAAGAAATGTTTTTGTCTCGTACATTTGTGTACAAGACCCGATTCGTATACCAATATAATACACTTAGTAATACAATAATACCGCAAAAAATCGCTTTTTTTGTACGGATACTCATTCTAACATGCATTATAGTATTATTTCTTACATTAATTTGACGTATACGTGTAACGTCAATTTGTTTTATATAGGGAAACGTTTCAATTGTCTCGTACGCGGCCATTTTTAATTTATTTGAAATCTCCAATAACACTGGATCTTTTATATTATATGCGGAAGATTAATGTTGAACATGGAAATCATAAGTTACCTCTAATCTTTGTATTTTATTATATATTTTATAAATATTAATAAAAGTTTTATATACTGTTATTGTAATAACTTATTCTAAGTAACATATAAGTGAAACGATCGAACTTTTTAATATATTTTGTAATGAATTCATATTTTTAAGGTTATATTAGGTTAATTAAGTACAGTTTAGAGATAAATTTGAATTTAAATATCTCAATTTTTTTATTAAATTACAAATATATTAAAAGAAAATTAAATTATAACGAATGCATTATTGGATCAAATAGTTTATTTTTAAATGTATTGTATTTCTAATTATTAAATACAAACTTTTTATATCATATATATTATTTTAAACATTGGTATGTTACAATATACAAAATGAAAATGCATATTTCTAATTCAATATTAATATAATTCTAATTCTATATTTATAATTTAAATGAATATTTGAGTTTCATTTAGGTTTTTGTGTAGATGAAAGTGTACTTCTAATAACAGTAATAACAAAACATACTTTTACATTATTCTATAAAAGGATAAATTTTATTCATCAATAATGGTACATGGTCAAAATCTAATGTTGTCATGTGCAACTTAATATATTTCAATTTAAAAAATAGTATATAATATCCTGATTGTTTTCAAAAATGATTTTATAGAATTAAGTACTATTATACATTTAGATTTTGTATTTATGCTTATAGCTAATTTAGATTGCATATCATAACATTCAGTTAAAATAATTGCTGATAATACAATGAAATATGAATATTAAATAAATGGGATAACAAATGTGATAACATTCTATACTTTTAAGGATACTATTTTAATAGTGATTACCATCTTAATTTATTACTACCATGTTACGGTGCACTTTCTACACAAATAATGAAACACTTTCATTGCTTGTTAGTATTATATGTGCACTCTTCTTGGCTGCATTTTTGCATTTATAATTTACGCTTTTCCTATTAACCGTTTGAGTGCCACAGGTCTTTCTCGTTTTCCAATCAACAATTACCAAACGGCGCGGTAGCGCTTGTTGCATTCCGTGTCCAAAAATGCCGAGTAGCGCGATAACACTTGTTTCATTCCATGCCTAAAAATGCCAAGGAATAACACTGTTTATGTATAACGTAATAACACTGTTTTCTGTTTATATGCGTTCCGTTCACATTAATGGAACATCAAATATTACTTCAATTTTGACTTATTTTTTTTATGACTAAACGGTAACCATAAAGACACGCATCGATAAAAACTGAGCGTGCAGTAACTGTCGTCTTCACAGCCTACTGCGCTGGTCTTTTTCGACACAGAACAGGAGAAGCGCTATCGTGCCACTTGGCACTCAAACAGTTAAGTTGTAGGATAATATATATCATTTATAATAACATCATAATAATTTATAACTTGATAACTCACGCATTTTACATTGCTTCATTAGAATAATAAGTAATATGCAGCCTTTGCTATTTTTTATTTTCTAACTTATGCACCTAATTCTTTAAATATGTGATAAAGTTATTTCAGCAATTTCATCTATGAAATTTTATTAATTACTTTAAGACACAAAAAATGTCATTCCACTTGGTCCAGCAATAACTGCACATTGATAAGTTGTTAATAACTTTTGCAGTTGCTGTTACACATTGTCATCTGTTTAAAACATATAAGAAAATGTTACATAATTCTGTCTCTTTTTATTATATATTATAATAAGAACTATGAAAACAGTCAGTATGTATCAAATTTAAATGATATTATACTTACCATGATACCACCAAATTGTTTTCTTTGGATTTTTATTACATGTTTTTACGTAAAATAGATTATCAGGTGGCCTCTTCTGCAGAATAAAAGTTTGTTTGAATATGTTTTATTAAATACATATAAAAAGCTTCTTTTATTACCTTTTCTTTGCAACTGCTCAACATTGATACAATACTTAAACAAATGCTTTGCACACTCAAAGCAGGAGACCAATCATCTGACAAAATGGATAGGCAGATATGGCCATTACTATAAATATGTGGATGTACTGGTATATTTCCACCTATAAAAGTCACTTCTGGTGAATCAAATGGATATTTAGAACTGAATCTAAATTGCAGCTGAAACTGTTCGCCTTCATACAAAGTGCCCTTTGCACCTTCCATATGAATAATCCATTGTGTTAAATTTTGACTAGTACGGTCTTCATCTACATGTATACCTTGTGGAGGTTCACGTATTAATGATGTTAACTCTTTTTGTAGTCTCCTCTGAAATGTTATTTTTTAAACATGTAACTACATTATATACATAACTAAAAAACGATGTAAGTACACAAATATATATCTTACAATAAAATAAAACTAATTTAAATTTGATTAACATTTCCATGTTAATGTTATTCCCAGGAAATCAATTCTTGCATTTACTATAATTTCATAATTTTCATATAATTTTAACACTATAATTATAACAGCAATTGTAATTTTAATTTTAATTCCTTTATATGTACAACAAATTTATATAGGTTATCATATGACACTATAAATCGACAATACAAATAAAAAACAATATACATCCACATGTAATGAATAATATAATAAATTATTTTTAGAAAATTAAACATAACTGAAATGTGAAATTTTGGTCTTTATTTAAATGTTATATACAACTAAAATGAAAATAATTCAATATAGGTAAGAAGTAGCGCATCTTATTTGACACAAAACGTCATCCAAGTTTTAACGAAAATTGATTCTTCCTATAATGATAGATAAAGCGACATTTTGTATAGTCTTGTGAAATATACTAAATACCGAATGATCTAATTAAATAGCAAGTTATATTAAAGTATGAAGATATACGGAAACCTGAGTGCATTAAAGAAATTTTGGTATTAACTTACCTTCGATGGGGACATTGCCGCCATTGTCGTTTTATTGCTCATTGCAACATACATGAATTACTTGCTTTGTTTATTTCTCGATTTAAGAATGTAAAGTTGTTTCAATGAGAGTGTTTTGCATTATTCTTAAATTTCGTATTACGTTGTCATGCATTAAAAAAAAATTGGTAACACGATATTTGTAAAACAGGTTGTCAAGACCATTGTAAATTAGTCAAATTTGACAGCCATTCTCAGGTACTCAGGCGAGTACACAATATACGATTGTTGCCATACTATGATCGGTAAATATTTTAGTAAAATTACAATTACAATGTTATAACCCTGACTATTGTTAAAGACAAATAATTCATAAATCAATGATTTTTTATTGCTACTTTATAAATACATATAAATAAAAATTTGTATAAATAATCAGACTATATATAATATAAATTAAATTAAATAAACAAAGAAGTGTCTTAATCAATTTAATAAATTTAAATTTATGTAAAAGATAGGAGAATAAAATAAATATTATAAGCAGTAGGAAGGAACATGTAATATTTAATTTAAAATTTAAGCCACAGTTACTGCGCTTTTGTAAACATTGGGTGATTTTTATTATTATTTAAACAATCACTCGAAAAATCGATTATTTTGCAGAGATTACATTCTATTTGTGTATTGTATCTCAGTGTAGATATAATCGGGAACACTAGAGTCAAAAATTGTCTGAAATCATTCTAAATGAAATAAATACAATGATTTATTGCTTTATTAATTTTATAAATAATATATAATTGTGTTACAGCCTACGATAAAATGATAAAATTGATTTATTAAATCATTTTGATTATTATGTAACATTTTTAAGGATCTGTTTATGAATTATATAGATATTTAGGTAATTATATTTACTTAACTATATACATATCATTAATATAAATCGAATGTATGAATAATCAGACTTATTATTTTTGCGTCACTTTGTTACACTATTTAATTTAGGTATTAATTAAGTATTCTCATAAAATAAACAATTTTGTTACAAAAAAAATTCTTGTTTTAGTGTTAATCCAACAATTCAAATTAATTGAAAGATAAACCATTAATGACTTCAGCAGAACACTTTATTAGTTTAATTACTGTGACAAGTGCTAAAAAGCTAGCTACTGCACTTGTCTTATGTTTTATTCTGTATCATGGATTGATGCATCTTATATATGGTAAAAATATTTATTTTTTAACCTTTTTTATCCGATTTGTCACTTAGTATTAGCAACATAAATTACGTGTTTAACTGTCTATCTTTATTATACCTAATAACTTTTTAAATTCATATTGCATATTTAATATTTATAATTAATTTGTTCAGGTAGTGACTCTTGTAAATGGTTATTAACAGAAGGAAGATACAAAGGAGATAAAGAATGGCAACCTTATGGCTGTATGATGCATCATTACACACAAACGTACAAAGTTAAATTATTTCAATAATATTACATATGTATAAAGATTATACCTTTTAAGAATATTTTTTTAATGTAGAGACAGTCGCAGATGTTTGAGGTATCTAGCTTTCATGGGCCACCATAACCACTTTGTATTCATTGGAGATGTTAGAATTAGACAGCTCTACAAGTCTTTTATATCACAATTTATAGTTGATGGAAAAGCATCTGATTTAACAGAATTACCAGAGAATTCTGATTTAAATTTTAATGATGCACAACTTAGATTGAATGTACAATTTTTATGGAGGCCTCAATTAGATAATTCTATGATAGAAGATCTAAGAAACTGGATGGTAATTATTTACTTCGAATAAAAGAATTTATACAAACTTTAATGGAATTAAATATATGTTCAATAATAAAATATCAATGACTATTACTTTCCAGAAAACTGATGCGCCTAGCTTAATTATTTCAGGCTGTGGAGCAATGACAATTCTTGCTAATAATAATAGTGATACTCAATTATATTCTGAGTATAGCATGGGATTAGTAAGGCTTGTACAACCAGTAGACTTTTTAGCTAAAAAACATACAAAATATTTATGGATGCTACAGGATCCTGTATTAAAAGAAAGACTATCAGCCCAATTATCTGGTATAGATAATAGACAAATTAATTTATGTAATAAAGCAGCAATAAAGGTAGATTCTTTTATTTAATTAATTAATCAGTTGTTTAATACGAAGTAAAATTATATATATATATATATACTGATTATGCACAGATACTGTCTCATAGTGATGCTCATATATGGGAAAGTAGTAAACTTGTTGGTGCAGGTGTATTGGAACAAAGTCCAGATGGATATTTAGCTAGCCCTCTATCTTTGCGACACAAGGTTCAAATATTATTAAATACCTATTGCAATGATCATATGAATTTTGATGATGGTAGTTGTTGCAGTTATCCGGAACCAGCAACAACATTACAATTATTAAGCTTGTCTGCACTTACTTTATGGTAATATTTTACACATTATTATATTACATGTTAAGTAAATAGTAAGTCAGTAACAGTTCATTACAGTATAGTTATTGGTGGTGGAATGTGGTTGTATAAAAAATTTTTTTATTATCGAAATGAAGTTTCTTATTTACGTGTTACCACGGTTGAAGTGGAAAATACTGAAGAAGCAAATAATTCTGAGACCATACAAATTGAACAACCTGAAGTACAAGATTTTTATACTTTGATGACATCACTGGCTCTTTTGTCAATTATCTTATCTTACTTTTATTTATGTGATAGGTATATAAACTTGATTTTTTTAAAATCTCATATTATTTGAGTTATTATTTGTGTATAATAATGGATTTTTATTTGTATTTAGAACAAATTTCTTCATGAAGGAGAATAAATACTATAGTGAATTTAGTTTTTGGTTACCACTTGGATATATATTGGCTCTTGGTTTATTTTTTACTGAAGATAGAGAAAGAGGTCCAAGAACTTTAAATCGAGAACAAACAGATGAATGGAGAGGTTTAATGCAAGCTGTAGTATTAATCTATCATGTTACTGGAGCTAAAAATGTTTTACCTATCTACATGTATTTAAGATTAATTAATTCTGCTTATTTGTTTCTTTCTGGATATGGACATTTTTGTTATTTTTGGCAAACAGGCGATGTTTCTTTAGTGAGATTTGCACGAGTATGTATTAAAAAGATACAAAAATATTAACAAATAATAACAAATATTGTGAATATAAATTATATTTCTATATTTGTTCATTACTTTCCAGGTGATGTTTAGACTAAATTTTCTAACAGTGTCTCTATGCCTTTGTATGAACAGGCCATATCAATTTTATCACTTTGTTCCATTAGTCTCGTTCTGGTTTTTAGTCATTTATTTTTTAGCATGGCTACCACCTCGCATATATTCTGGTAGTCTAAATGAATATGGACCAAGAGCTTTACTTTATCTTGCATTAAAGCTTTTAGGACTTGTATCAATGATCACAATACTGTATATGTCAGAGGTATTATTTTATAAATTATTTATATATAAAATATACATTGTATATTTATAATATAAATACATAATTTATGGTCATTTAATAGGTCTTCTTTGAAAAAGTATTTGTAACAAGACCTTGGAAAGCATTATTTGTTACAACTGATGATGATATACGTGAATGGTGGTCACGTTGGAGGGTAGATAGATATAGCGTGGCTTGGGGTGTAACTTTTGGAGCAGGTCTTGTAGCTTTACAAAGGATAGATCACATTCCAGGAACTGCATTGTCTTCTTTATTGGCATTAATTTCTTTAACTGCTTACACTACTTTTACAATATTGTGTCATTCAGTGTCAGAGTGTGAAGAAATTCATTCATATGTTGCATTTATACCAGTAATTATCTATGAACTATGACTTATTCTAAAATTTATTTTCAAATTAAATTTCAGTATTTTTTAATTACAGATTATAGGATACATTGCGCTCAGAAATGCATCCTTAGCATTACGCGGAAAACATTCAGCTCTTTTAACTGGTTTAGGTCGCATCAGCTTAGAAACTCTAGTCGCACAAGGTCATATTTGGTTGGCAGCAGATTCACATGGTGTATTAGTTTTACTGCCCAGATTCCCAGTATTAAATCTCTTAGTCACATCATTTATCTTTATATGTGCAAGTCATGAAGTAAGTATTTAATTATTTATTGTTTCCAATTAATTATAAATTTATATTTAATTTCATGTAGTATAAAGTATAATATAACAATAATTCATTTACTTTGACAGATACATAGATTAACTCAGGTATTAGCACCATATGCAGTACCAAATGATTGGAAACTGGTTGCTCGTAACTTGTTATTATTTATTGCAGTTCTTGTACCTATTGGTATTCATGATGGAATGTTTTGAAAAAGACATTTTTATATGATTAATCAGATTCATAGTACGAACTTTATATACATGTAAATATAATGTGTAGTAAATGTGTAAGTTTGTACTATTTTATCATGTAAATTTTGTAAAAGAAAAATATTAAAAAACAATCATACTTCTTTAGTTCTTTCTTACTTTATTAATTTTTATAAAAACGAAAATAAATAATTTAAAAAAAGAGAATGTTTTTATTTCTAATCTGCTTGTTTATTATTTATGAATATACTTTATGTAGAAATAGACTGATTATATTTTACAAATATAAATTCAAGTTACACAGTTACAAAGAGAACTTTCAGATAATATCAATATTTACTATTTATTTATTTAATATATAGCATTTATATACAAATAGTCTGACAATATTCTTTCAACTGTATATGAAATTATCATGTTTTACATGACTAGTATACACATCATAGCCAAGAGAAATAATATTATCATAAACAACTCTATATTTAGTTGGTAAGAAATAGAAATTAAAAATTTGTGCTGGTGGCCAAATAATCCATTCTGCTATATATAATCTATGTGCTTTTGTAATAATTTCATCTTTTAATTTAGCCCAATTGCTTTTTTCTAAAATACTTAATGTTACAAAGAACATTGTAATACAAAGTGGAGAACAAATTAACTGATCTATAATAACTTTCTTCAAAACAATATACATATTACGACCTGGTAACTTAATATCTAAATATTTATACCAATAATGGCATACTATACCAACAGACATACCAGATAGTGCCATGTTTTTTGTTCTGTTTAAACTCCAATTATTCCACTTACCCTACCATAAAAAGAGATTGTTATAATATTGAAATAATTATACTAAAATAAATAAGTTAAACAAAAACCTTTGATATTTCGTAATTTTGTTCTAATGCATCTCCTGTGGCTGAGAGTGAAATAGATATTGTTACATTTGTATAAAGTAAATATTTTGAAGAAAATAATTTTTCTTTAATTCTATGCACTTTTCTAATAATTGAATTTATATTTTTCATGACATTCATAATCTAAGAGAAAAACAAACAAATAATTTTAAGGTTAAACATTGATTTGAAATAAATAGGTTACTTTATAATACGTGAAACTTATAAATAAAAGTACAATCAATTAAGATAGATATTACTAATTTCAAAATAACAAACTTACAGATAATAATAAATATTTGACATATTTAATACCAAAAAATATACCTATATATATTAAATTTAAAATGGACACATTTTGTTATTGAATACATATACACATATAAATAGATTTTACATAAATTAATTTAAATAAAATTAATTTTATAAAATAAATTAAGTTTCCTGCATAGACAATGACATTAGTCAATGTCTATTGTACTTAATTTAAAGTTATTTTTGAAAATAATATAACAATTTCGATTTTGTTATGATATAAGATATTTTAAAGATATATGATTATATTTCAATAAACGATATAATAAATAATGAAAATTAAATTTCTTTTATAAATAAAGAACGTAAAGGCTACCATGAAATGAATAAAAGGAAGTAAAAAATACACATATTTTATAAGTTGTTAAACATATCTGTATAATCTTTTATTATAAGGTTCGAAAAAAAAAAAACATTTAATTTACTTCAGAAATGGTTTCACTTTGTATAAATTATTAAATATTTATAGCAATTTTACGATTCTTAATTTGAAATTTTATTTTTTTTATGAGTATCATGAAATGTAATATTATATATATAATTATAATGGGTATTTAGAAAATTTCTTATTAAAATCTGATGATTCAGTGCACTACATTAGTCATCATACATTATTATTTTTAACGTATTATTTTCAATAAACAATTATTTTAATATGATATTTAATAAATGAAATTTGCTATTATAATCACATTTAATAATTTAGGAATATTACTTATATCATTGAATTTAAGATGGTAAATTATATTTCTATATGAATGTATTATGAAAGTACTCATAAATTATTATTTGGTATTTTGGCTGTTTCTATAAAACGTACTTATATAGTTATTAAAATTTTCATTTGTTCATAAATATTACAGACTATAAATGGAGGAAAACATAATTATACCCTATAAGTTATATATGTATATGTGTATGCAATTGAATGCATCATTTAAATTTCGCGCAATAGTTGTTCAGATAGCTCTGTTCTCTTGACTTGGCGCCTAAACTAGTAAAAAAGGCGGGACATTAGGTAGTGTCGACAGTAATACAGATTGCTATGGTGGATGAGAATTCTTGAGTGTTTCATTAAAGTTTTGAAAATTTCAACGGACTTTTTGTAATACACATATACACATATATATTCGTATATAAAACGATGTCTCAACCATCAGTAACAGCGTATTTTAATACACGTAAACGACAAGCAACTGACGATTTACGAAGTAAGGCAAAGGTTTTGCTTCTTGATCAAGAGCAACCGAAATTGGTAGGTATTCAAACCCAGACGTCAATAAGCAAATATGATTCCGAATCATCCGGAACATTAACTCCGATTCAAGAAGAAAAGACAATGGCAACGAGTCCGAAAGTTGTTTTTGTATCTGGAAATGAATCAGTAAGCAATCGTATACTAAAGCCAAATTCAGCTGTTCGGAACATACAGTTTGATTCTCCTAAAGCAAGTGTTCAAAAAATGTCGAAACACAACATTCGTGCTCGTATTACACGCTCACGAAAATTATCAGGGGCAGAAGGGCAGGTGGATATTAGAGATAGTTTTCAAAAGCTTGCAGGAGATTTAGATGCAAAAAAAGTACTTTTTGAGAAGAAAGGTGCTTTGAGTCCAAGAAAGAAACTTCCAGGATCCCCAAAGAAAGAGGATAATTTTGCTGAAAATTCATCTATAAATATTTTAAATGATCAGTTATCAGCTAATTGCACAACGCCAAAGAAAAGTTCAACTATGGCAAAGCAAGAATTGTCCTTGAATGAAATAAAAAATAAAATTAATAAATCTTCTAGACTTATTGAATTAAAAGCTTCTATTGCACGCTTCAAGAATCATGAACAAAGATTAGAGCAATTACATAAACAAAATGATACTATGAAACCACATATTCAAAAGTTTGAAAAGATTCAACTGGAAATACCAATTAGGTAAGATGTTTATGAAATAAAATTTCAGTTTTATCATATATTTTAATTCAGATGCCTTTATAACATTTGAATTATTATTTGCAGCCCACAAAAAGCATATAAATCTCCAAACAAAACAATATTAAGTCCTTTGAAAAATCAACAATTAACAAATGTGAGTCCTCAACGTAGAATTTTATTTGAACCTAAAGAAACAACCCCTAGCCCAGTAAAAGGTAGTCCAACTAAAGTACCAGCTTATCAGCAATATTTGTCACTTGCTGAAAGTGGCACACCTGCTTTACCATTACCTTACCATTATAGATTCTTAGCAGAGGCATTTAGATGTATAGATACAGTATGTTATTTTTTATATAAACACTTGCTCTGTTATTAATCCATTGTACTTTTTTAACTGTATATTACTTTGTTAATTATATAGGTTTCTGCAATGCTATTCAATCGTAAAGAAACAATAACTTTCAAAAAACTAAAGCCAGCAGTTCAAGAGTTATTACGTAAAAATTTCACTTTGGAACATCTAGCACAAATTAAAACTATTTTCCCAGATGCATACATTTATAGTCAGGAAAAACATCGTACATTTGGTTCTACATCGAAACAAGATAAATATGAGTTAATTCTTACACCTGCTGTTGAAGAGAAAGATGGAAGAAATACTCCAGATTCAGATGATGTTTTGAAAACAGCATGTGAAGCTAGTATGGGACCAAGAATACTTCTTGACAGACGGAGGAAGTTTTACAATATTTTACTTGGTACTGTCTTCATTTATATATAAAAATCCTTATAAACTTTTCATACTATAAATGTATTTTTATAATACATTTTATGGTATATTTTTTATATTATAAACATTGTAAGATGTCTTGTTTTGTAATTACAGATAAAGTAAAGGATGAGCATGAGAAATTCTTACATAGTTTGGAAACACCAATGCATGTTCCAAAACAAAAAATTGTGCGTTGGCATCCTGAATTCGATGTGGAAAGTTGTAAACAAATTGAACAAGCTGATTTGCCACAACCACCTAATGTTGAAAAAACATCAACTGCAAAAGATGTTCTTGGTAAGTAGAAAAGCATATATTTTTTTATTGAATTTTAAGTTGCTACTTAATTTTAATGAATTCTTTTAGACAAAGCAAAGTCATTATTCAATTGCGGCACTCGCATGGAAAAAGCATTGCAGCGATTAGCAGAAGCAAAAATGACTTCAAAGCCTCTTTCTCCAAAGAAAGATAATGTAAACAATTCAACACAAACAGAGGACTGTATGCGAAAAATAAATATTACTGTCGTGGATACTCCACCTGCCACACCTACCACACAAAATAATTATCTCACTACAGCACTTAAAGGCATACCAAAGGCCCTTCTCGAAAAAGTAAATATTTTTATATTTATTTTCTTATTATATTGATTTGTTTATAACTTAATAAAATAAATTTTGTTGTATATTAGGTTCGAGCTAAACAAGCTGCGAAAACATTAGAAGCTATGACACGAACACCAAATACCGAAAAGGAGGCTGTAATGTATTCAAGACTACCTGAATTGGTTAAAATTTTGCGTAATATTTTCGTAGCTGAAAAGAAGGGAATTCTGACATTAGAATTTGTAATTACGAAATTAGAAAATTCTTTTAGAGCAAAATTAACTGCAGCTGAACTGGAGGAGCATGTACGTTTGTTGTGTAAACTACTACCCAAGTGGTCTAGTATACATAATGTGCGAAAAATAGATTATTTAAAATTACAAAAAGAAATCGATCTTACGAAAGTAGTGAAAAGATTGGAAATTATGGCTAATGACAAAGTAAAATCATCATGACATTTATTAAATTGATTCTATTTTTTCTTCAAACTACAAATTATATATGGAGTAATATGTATACTGTTTGAGTATGATAATTTCATTTGTATCTTATGTTATATTTACTACTAGTTCTTATTGCTCTATATTTTCAAAGAATTCTGTTTCTGAAGATAATTTATTCCTGATAAAAGTAAATTCAGTTTTCTTGTTTGGCAGATTTTTTATTCATTACTATATACTAAACGTAAGTTGACTACTGTTACATTTTCTGCATAAGTTCATAGTAGTTTTATAAAGTGTTTGTATTATATAATGATAATACAATTTTCTATATAGTAATTTTCAGTATAAATTCAATAAAATAATATAACTGTATTATTAAATAAAATACAATTTTATTTAATAATAAAATGATAAATACAATTTTCTAAATATAATTCGGTTTTTTTACTTCAGAAATTCAAGTTATATGTCAGTTATATTCAATGTGCTGCTAATAATTCATTGAAATGTGCACGCAATATTATATCACGTGTAATAATTAAGTACTAAAATATGAAATTTTTATGATTTTTTTTTATGTATATGATGTGTTATCTATTACATAAAGAGATAAAAATTAAAGTATAACAAATTTCTCAATAGTGCAATTAATATGTAATTTAATGTCAATAAAAGTCGTATCGTTGACAAATAGAATACCTTTATTTATCTACAGTTGATAAATTACATATGCTTTCTTACAAGTTGAGTGACGGTAAAGTTGGTAACTAAGCTTGTTAGTTTTCTGTCTTTCTAACCTTTCTCATTACTTTGCATTGTATGTTTATAAAAGCATTTTAATGATATAAGATAAATCGTGTTTAGTTATTTGTATATATGCACATAAATACTATTAAAAGTCATGTTTTTATCTAATGTGTTGTTAAAAAAAGCTAAAAGCAAGTAAGTATAAGGATATAAATATCTAATTGTAAATATGAAAGTTAGGTTAGTTTGTACATAATGAAATATTTATGGACCAATGATTTTATAAAATGGTACAAAAATTATTATAGAAAATAAATTGTTCATTGCGTAGAATATTTTTTTATATATTACATATATGTTTATGTAAATTATGTTTATACTTCTATTGAATGATCGAATTGTAAACACGATTTCTTATTATCGTATATTTTATCCATAGATTCATTTTAGTATTATTAGAAAGCGTAGCAAGTGGTCACCGTGTTATACGATGTCGAGAAAGGGTATCTGATAAGTTGGAGGTAGTAATATTTGACCCTTATGGTAAGTTTACCTTAAAACCTCAGGATTTTGGAGTAAATTTATTTGTGTATATATTATCTTTACAAATAATATGTATGTAATTTCAGTTCAAGATAAAGTGCTCTATCGGGAGTGGAAGAAAATTAAAAGTTTATAAATGTTAATTTAGTAAATGACTAACATTATGGTAATTTATTTAATTGATACTTCTAAACGTAATTATTCAAATATCATAACAAATAAATTCACAATATTAAATTAATAAAGAATATTACTCATATATCATCCCGTTCGAAACAGTTTAAAAAAAATTAGTATGTATAAACATAAGGCCAGCGATTTCACAGTATTTATGTGAAAAGTAATAAGATGTCACCAAAAATGGTTTTAAGTAGAGCACACACGTATCACATTTTGGACGAGTTATACGTCTTTATGTATGTTCAAGGGAAGGAAGAGAGAGGGAAGGGAGAACTTCGAAATCGAGATTGGGGTAGGTTTCCTTTGATCCTTAACAAGGAACGTAAAGTTGTATTATTTCCACCTGGATTTCAAACGGTTTGAAATTCACGAGGCGTGAAATACGGTCCTATTCTCGTTCTCTGTTTCGCCTACCCCTTTTCAATGTTGTGTTCTCTTTTACTCTTTTTCTTCTATTCTTTACTTCTTTTTGGTAGTGCGGGAGCAACTTTGACGTCGTTTACTGATGTTGCCAATTCAATTTCTCCTGACGAATTATTGTCGTCTGTAGAAAGAGGGTTGCAATCACGAAAAGGGTTCTCTTTTCAACTAAATCGTCTCTATCTTTCATGATTGTGCATATGGCAGCCCCTGACATTTACATCTTCTGTATTTTCTCTTCTACCATAAGTAAAACTTTTTCTGTCTTTTGGACACATTTTAGTATCTTTATTTTCTATATAAACATTTTACTAGAATAATAATAAAAAAATAATACTTGCAGTCTATTGTAGTCAGTTATTGTAAAATTAAAAATTGACCTTGTTAAATATTACAAATGACATTTATTACTTTCAATTCTTTAAAGTACCGTGAACGATCAATCGACAATTATCATGCTCTACATAACTTGTTCCCGTAAAAAAATACCAGACTCTGCGAGAACAGAAAAATTAATTCTGTGTACGAGGTAGGTACAGAAAATCACGAAACAAATGAACTTTTGGTACGAAAGGCATTTTCTCGTGGTACGATGAGTTTCGAAACGGAGCGCAACAGCGAAATTGTTAAAACGTCTGTTGTTTATGGTTGACTCGGTAGAGCAGCCGGTAAAGGAGGAAACAGTCATAACGGAAAACGAGCCGGAGAGATGGAGTAAAGTGTGAGTGCGAAGAAGAAAAGACGAGAATAGCAAAACAGAAACGAAAGGAAGTAGGTGGGGAGAGAGAGAAAGACGGAATGAGCGGAAAGGGGAGGGGGAGAGAAAGAGAAAAGAGGCTCGTCTGGGCCTTGGCGCGTTTCAGTTGCCTCGCGTTCGAGGGCGTTTTTCGCCCGTGAGTTGTTCTTTGCTTATTACAGTGTGTGCACTGGGCTCGAGCTGGCTAAAGTGGTTTGCTGCTAATTAACTGCGTTATTTTTACAACTCTCTTGCTCCCATCTACCTCCCACGTCTCCTTCTGCCCCCTTTCCCGCTTTCCTTTCCCCAACTGTTCTCTCACATTTGCAATGGGGTTCAATAATTCTGCGGCCGCAACGCCCTCTCTCTCTCTCTTTCTCTCTTTCTCTATATATATACATATTCGTTCTCACATTGTTTCTTACGATTTATTTTTTATGAGCATACCCTCTGTCATGTGGAATTAAAAGTAGGAATGCGATCGCATTCACTGTCTGTTACCAAAAAATCTGTTTATACGTATAATACATCTGTTAAGTACATCGATTGAAAATAATCAATTAAAAAGAGGTTAGGAATTATTTTCACACAAAAAATTATTCTCACAAAAGGAATATATTTATTTGTATAATTAAAAGTTCTTGAATTTATTTGCTAATTTCCTCGGATTTCGCGATTATATGTACATGAATAGAAAATAAAACGTACAGGAGGATTTTCCTAAAAAATGGCCCTTTTCACGGACTTTTTTTGCTCACACTTACCACTGCCTTAGTACTTGGGGCAGTTTAATTTTACCGGCATATTCTGTATGTATATTTCGAGAGCGCGTTTGTGGGGAAATTAACGAGAATATTGGACGCTTTTTAAGTACCCTAGTTTGAAATGGTCTTCAAGCGGATAGCTACTCAATAGTCATTTTGCAATAATAACTGTTCGCAAGTATCATCAACTGTCGAAAAACTGATTAAAAATGAGTCGAAACGATATACAGTTACGCTTTAAACTAAATATATATGTACATTTATTTTGGTATTTTCTACAATAGAAAATTTTGAAATTTAATTCCGTTTATCGTTGTTTCCATACTTACAAAAAAAATGGAGAATTTCACTATAACAATCTTCATATCAAAATATCGCCCATCTAAAAGACGAATTAGTAATGATAAAAACTCGCCCGACAGCATCATTCATAGATAAAATAGAAATCTGAAATATATCATCTTCGAAATAATTCTTTCATACAAAAGTTACTAGATGCCGTTTTAAACGGGATAATAAAATATGAAATAGAATTCACGCGAAATTTATTAATTGCTATAGTTTGTACATTGCGCAATGTATTTAAGTTATCGTTCGATATCTCGATCGATACATAATATATACAGGATCCTATCGATGGAACGTTTATATAAACGTGAATACAACATAAAGGTATGTGCGTAAAGGTTGCCCGGCGGTATTGAAACCAAAATAACTTTAATATCAGGTTCGTAAAACGGCTATTGGTTACGCCTGCCGATGGAAGTGGTCGGCGGCAGAGAAGTCGAAGGTCGTTTGTATAGGTATCTCTCTGCCGGTAGTCGTGGCACCCTTCTTTTCTCCGCCACGAAAAGACTCTTGAAATAAATTGAAAATGGCTGGTATCGCCCAGCTCTCGGTTAAGTGATACCTACATCACCTACACGCACATCGGTCATCACAGAATTCCACTGGTGTTCTTTCACATATACAAAACAGCTATTCAAAAGCGGGTCCGAATCTTTACGAATGGATGATCAATTAAAACCACATTAAAACGTTATATTAATCGGGTGCATTGTTGAAAGAAAGGAATTAGAAAGCGAATAAGAGGGTTACCGTACTTGATGTTAATCGAAAGCTCGCGAAGAATTAATAAATTCGATTTATCCACCTTTTTCATATATGAAAATAAATATTTTTTATTTTCGTTTTTCTCAATTTTTCTTAACGATATAAGATGAAAAAGATTAAGCAATTATATGGGTAAATAAATATCAAGAATGTAATAAAATGAACATTTCTGTAAGTGAAAACTATGTTGCGAGAATCTTTTCTTTTTAAGTTCAATATAGGGAATCGGGAATTTGAATATCATCGGTACTTCTATTACGACAGATGGTCTATCTCATTATTCGGTGAAATCGAGCTCGCCGAAAATTTATGTACTCCCTCGCACTCCGCGGCTGTAAAATCATTTCCAAAATTTACGATTTGCCTGACCGGACTAATTTTCAGCATGCACGCGTGTACTAAGCGTATTCGCGTGATCAGTATGTACACACGAGCGTACACTATGCTACACATGCATGCAGAGCACTTGGACGCGCGAAACGTTACGAGCTAAACGCGAAACGCGAGCTCACGCAGCCACACACGCACGGCAAGAAGCATGTGCGAGAGCACACGAATGAGAAGGTGTATTGAATCGACGAGTATCATGCAGTTGACAGCTAGAGCTAATTGAATCTTGACTCTATCTATCTGTCGACTCGAGCTGAGACTCGACTGCCGGCGCCGCTGCGAATTGCATTTCCTTTCGACAGAATCGTCTGCGCTCGAGAATTCTATCTTCCCCCTTAATCCCTCTTCGTTTTTGTTATGTAGAATTGCACAAGAAATTCACCCGTTCCGAAACTGTAAAGGGCTGTCTGATTGTTATTTATTTCTCTCAAGGAATCTAAGTCTCTTAAAAATTCAGCCTAGAAGAATTGCCAGTGTATAGGAGTTGGAATTAATTATGAATTTATCATTTAAATTCAATCACTTAAACTCTCTTACACTTCGTTCGAATATCATGGAATTTCAATGTGAACTGAATTTTTTATCAAGTGAAAGGAGTGTTATTTCATTCGAGGATTTTGTTAAGCTAATAAATACGCTTCAATTATGAGAAACGTTGTTACATAAATTTCTCCTCGCGTAGAATGGTAGACATTGAATATAAGGAAGTAATCGTTAACGTGCATTTTCTTTCCTTTTCTTTGTTAACATTTCTACAGCTCTTTTTATTCGTCCCTTAAACGCAAATTAAGAGTATAAAAGATGTATTCCTCTCCTTTTTCTGTCAGTCAAAACACGATACAAAATGTTATAAATAGCGGCTCGGAGAGCATTCACGATATCGAGAACGGAAATTTCTTTTCACTGTAAATTCAATGAAAGATTTCCGTGTACCTGGACATTCAATTACGAGGGGAATCAATGGAAACTCTCGATGAAATTTTAATTGGAAAAGAGCAAGATGCACAGCAGACGAAGATGCAACAGAGTGTCTGTGGATCAGAGGTGTGTTCAATTCACTTCACTGTAGCTAAGATACCACTACAAGTGAACAAAGGAGGATTTTAAAAAAGGGCCATTTTTGGCATCGCCTGAAAGTGAAAAATCCATTTGCAAATGATGGAGATTTAGCAATGAATTCTCTTCTCGTGACTTCCTCCAGAGAGTCTCAAAAACCACGGTCCACGAGGAAAACATTGTGCGCTTCAAATTGATTGCACGTATCGACTTCTAACAATATTTCGTTTAGAATTGATGCATTATTTTTGGATACACGACGTAGTCCCTATATATTTGTTATATAGGGTGGGTCAGCACATATTGTCATCTAGATATACGTTATTATTATTACGTATAGCGAAAAATGTTTCGGATGAAGTTGAGTGGTTTTGAGAGAGGCATATTCAGATGGTACTAGTTTTTTCGTAGATGGACGTATAAAGGACATATGAAGGTCATTAATATTTTTTTAAATGGAATTATATGCTTTTTATTACATTAGCTGATGTTCCTTCATATTCTTTACA